ATGTTTGATTGATTATTTACGTCTTTTCCAAAGCATTTGTGGCATCTCTTGAGTGATGTCAAAAGATTTAAGGTATCTATTAGAAAACTGGCAAGTTCAAAAGGTCCCTAGTAGGCTGAAACAGTTATGGAGGACTATCCCACTCTACAACTTCTGGACAATCTGGTTGGAAAGGAACAACGCTTGTTTTGAAGGGCATAGAGCACATTCCTAGAGTTAAATATAAGTGTGTACAGAACCTGTACTTCTGGTGTAATAGCAATATGTAGTTAATCTAGATTAGTACATGGATTTTCTGGAGTTAAGTAGAGAACAATAGCAGATTGTCTGGCTGGGTCTTGTGTTATGTTATGTATCCTTCTGTACCTTCTTGGTACTGTTTCAACAATACTTTACGTTATCAAAAAAAATAAATACATAGTTTCAGATCTTTCCCTCAATCATTTATTTCTTATGTGCAGTAGTTATCTTCTTATTAAATTCTTTTAGCAATAGATCTATGGAGACCAAATTTCATGTTCTCTAATCACGATTTCTTAGTGCAGGCCCTTACATCAACCGCAGTGAAGAAAGGAGGGCTTTCAACTGGAGATGTAGGAGCGCTGTACAAATACAAGAACACTTTGATTGATGTCAAAGTTGATACAGGATCAAATGTGTGTTGCTCACGCCTTGATGTTCTTAATGATGTTTGTTTTTGCTGGATATCCTTCACATTTCTATCTTCCTGCAGATTTTAACAACTCTTACTTTGACTGACATCGTCCCATCCACAAAAACCATTGCCTCTCTGAAATTCCCCGACTACAGTTCTGGCAGGGTAAGCTCTTGCCATCTCTTTTGGGCTCATTTCTTGGGTCCATTGCTGGAAAGGATAAAAGAGTTCTCCCTTCTCAAAACTTGTCTTGTGCTTTCTTTTTTCAGCTAGAGACTCAGTACTTTCACCATCATGCAACCTTCACCACTGCTGTTGCTCTGAAACAATCCCCTGCAGTAGATCTTTCAATCACACTTGGTACTCCAACTTTTGCTCTTGGTGCAGAGGCAAGTTATGAGACTGCAACAAGTAAACTAACAAAGTATACTGCTGGCATTAGCGTGACAAAACCAGATTCCTGTGCTGCTATAATCTTGTAAGTTTAAGCGTTAATGTCCGTCCATAACTTGTGCCATCAGAAGCACACTTGATAAAAAAGATTGAGTTTGTGATATTTGTTGCTCTTTTTTGGCCTTAAGAGGAGACAAAGGGGACACCATAAAGGCATCGTACATACATCATATGGATTCACTGAAGACGACAGCTGCTACGGGTGAAATAACTAGACGATTCTCCACAAATGAGAACACATTTACAGTTGGTGGGTCCTATGCTGTGGATAGCCTGACAATTGTGAAACTCAAGCTCAACAATCATGGAAATTTGGGGGCTGTGTTGCAGCATGAGGTGATTCCAAAGTCATTGTTGACCATTTCTAGTGAATTCGACACCAAAGCCTTGGATAAGACTCCCAAGTTTGGTGTGGCACTAGCTCTTAAGCCTTGATAGGACTGCAGCCTGCCATTCGTGAACTCACACAAAGGAAATTCTTTGGGGTGACATGTGAAAGGAGGCGCTCAATAAGTAAGTTCATAGACACTTTTTTTTTTTTTTCAGGAATGGATCTGTTCCTATAGGTGGTTCCCAAAATAGACCAGCTTGTGGCATTTCACAATTTTCTATTTGTCTTTACCCTAGAGCAATTTTTTCTTAACGTAAGAAGTCCAGAATTGACAGCTTTTACCTGAGTAAGTGTTTTTGTTTTCGTGGGGATAGTCATCCATCTAATCACAGTGATTGGTAAAGATTATTTAGAGACGGACCTTCAGGCAATAGTTTTCTGTTGTGTGAAATTGAGAATAGGTTATAATAATGCAAATAAACAGCATTAGTCTCACATCAGAAAAACGTAGTACTGTTTGGTATGAAAGAAAATAAGTGAATTAAATTTGTTACTTATCTTAAAAAATAAACAAGTGCGATTAGCTAAAATTTATCAAGGAGAAGTTTTTTTGCTGAAAATATCAAATCATATCCAAATATGGAGGTGGAGGTGTTTTGTAGAGTTTTGAATACGTGTTTGTTTTATTTCTCTTTACTTAAAAATGAAAATCAAACCGGAGGCATCAATTGAACATTCTCTTCGCTCTGCTCCTGCCTCCTGGTAGGAAACCGTTTAGTTTTAAGAATGTGGAGACCAAAAGTGTCATATTTTGTATACGTTAGGGGCTTGCATTACATAAATTATACCGAAAAAAAAAAGATCAAAAAATCTTAAAGAGAGTGGGTGGGTATGTATGTCATCAATACAGAAATTGTCCTCCCTCCAATATGGCACATCCTTTTTAAATCAGGTGATATGATAGTTATGGACTCTATTTTATCATTCAAATATAACTATACAATACAAAAGATATGGTTTTTGAATATGATACAACCGAAAAATATCACAACAAACAAATCAAAAAGAGAAAAACCAACCTTATTTTGGTGGGTTCAAATTAGATGACATTTTATCAAAACCAAACAGACCTACGTATTTAAAGCCAAAACTGCAACTTTTTTCCTCAAAAAAACATAAACGGTATATAAAAAAAAAAAGGCAAAATCAATCCTAAGGGAGCGATGTCTTTCGAACAAAATTAACACATTAAAAAGTTCAATTAAAATCGCTGCTGGAGCAGCAATTTGGTCAATTTTTTATTTATTTTTTGAAAAAACTGAAATCGCTGCATGGACAGCATTTTTCCTCAATTTTTTTTTTTTTTGGACAACTCCTTGTCACTCGAGCATCATGAGGAGGCAGGCACCTTTTGCTCTAATTCTCAGGCAGCAGTGTTACACTTGTGGTTCCAAATCTAGACCTAGAATTCTTCAACTTTAAGACAAGCAGCCTAAACTCACTTTTTCAGTTATTCAAACAATGATCAAGTTGTCATTCGACTTAAAGCTCCATTTTCTATTGAAAAACAAATCTAACATGAACAAGAAAAACTAACTTCCAAACCAATATCCTTTGGAACAAAATGGTTTTCCCTTCTTCTCTTCCCAACTATTGTTTCACTTGCTCTATTCACTTCCTGCCTTTTTTAAGAAGAATCCTATGAGCCCAAGATATAAACCTCCTAATAGATTCAAAACACCAGGGACTCAATCCCAAACTAGTTATTAGGGTCAACACTATGAATCCTATTTATCCCTCTCCTCTATTTGGCTTACCCTTTACTAGAACAAATGCAAAACTTGCTCATTTAACTTCCTGACATTTCTTCAGAGAGAGAATCTTACGAGCCCAAGATATAAACCTACTACTAGATTCAAAAGACACTAGAACTCAATCCAATTTATCCTTCCACTCTATTTGGGTGATCCTATTAATAGAACAAATACAAACCTTAGATCACAATATAGTGACCAAAAAAAATTACAATGCTTGCAATCAACCACATGGGCTAGAGCTAAATCTACATATTCCCTTGAACCGAACACACAGGCTGAACATAACTTCCATCATGTACAAGCCAAGAATACACTACGAACAACTCTAATGCTATTTCTTAATTACCTCAGAACTACATATCTAGAACCTCGGAATAAACAATAAGAATGGCATTCTTAACAATCTTAATCACTAAACATTTCACAGATATATTCAAAGCACAAACTGGTTAAAGCAATCATTCTAGCTGAAAGAAACATAAATAAAGTGAAACAGGCGCAGCAGTTAAAATCTTTTTAACTTTTATATTGATCAACCAAAATTAACAACTTTTAGCATCATTCAATTAGCAGAAAAAAACCCCAAAAATTCAAAGATCTCAAGAACCCTAATAAACCAAAAATGTACTGATATAACCTCTCTTAAGCTGAGATAGAACAAAGATGTCTTTAAATCTAATCAACACTCTGCATGACATCTTAAGCAGTGAACTTTGCACCCTTATCCTTATCAGTTGCCCGGAACTTCAGCAGTGTTACACCAACGACCACTTCTAGTTCCAAATCCAGACCTAGAACCTATCAACTTTTAGACAGCCGATACAATGATCTAGTTGTCAGACTTAAAGCTCCATTTTCTATCGAAAAACCAACTTCCAAAGCAACCCTAAACCATCTTTTCCACTTTATCCATTGGAACAAAATGTTCAGGTGCAGCAGAAAAGATCAGATGGAAAATGGAACAGTGTTATTCCAAATAAATGAAGTATCTCTCTTTACACATCTTTTCCGTTTGTTTTCCCTTCTCTTCCCAACTAGTGTTTCACTTGCTCTAATCACTTCCTGCCATTTCTTAAGAAGAACATTATGAGCCCGAGATATAACCTGCTAATATAATATTCAAGACACTAGGACTCAATCCCAAACTAGTTAGGTCATCACTCTGAATCCTATTTATCACTCCCCTCTATTTGGGTGACCCTATTAATCAAACAAACGCAAAACCTGCTCTATTTACTTCCTGCCATTACTTCAGAGGAAGAATCCCACAAGGCCGAGATATTAAGCTTCTAATAGATTCAAGACACCAGGACTCAATCCTGAACTAGCTAGCATTGCAACACAATGAATCCTATTTATCCCTCCCACTCTTTTTGGGTGATCCTATTAATAGAATAGGATGCAGAACTTCTATCACAATATAGTGAACAACAAAGAATTTACAACGCTTGCAATCAACCACATGAGACAATAGATAAATCTACATATCCCTGAACAAAACTGAACATGCAAGCTTAAGATAATTTTCATAAAGTACAAACCAAAAATACACTACGAACAACTCTTTAAGTTTAGAAGCTATGCAGTTCCTTAATTACCTTGGAAACTACATAGATAGAACCTCAATATAAACAATAAGCATGTCAGTCACTAAACATTGCACAAGTTATATTCAAAGCACAAAGTGGTTGAAGCAATCATTCTAGCAGAAAGAACCATAAATAAAGTGAAACAGGCACACAAGTTAAAATCTTTAACTTGAGTTATATTGATCAACCCAAAATTAACAACTTTCAGCAACATTCAATTAACATTAAATAAACCCAAAAATTCAGAGATCTCAAAAACCCTAATAAACCAAAAACGTACTGATATAACCTCTCTTCAGCAGAGATAGAAGAAAGATGACTTTAAATCTAATCAATAGTCTGCATGACCTCCTCAGCAGTGAACTTTGTACCCTTATCCTTATCAGCAGCAGCACGTCCCTTAGCCTTACGATCCAACAAAGACTTACGATCCTTATCGAGTCTGAGTTTGGTAACAACAACCTTAGATGGATTAATACCAACATTAACAGTAGATCCATTAACCTTCTCTCTCGTTATACGCTCAATGTGAATCACCCATTTCTTACGGTACACTTGCATAACTTTTCCTTCACGGCCCTTGTAGGTTCCTCTTACTACTTGAACTTCATCGTCTTTTCTCACCGGGATAGATCTGACGTTGTACTTGGTACGTAACTCAGATGAAAGGGGTGCGCTCATCAACACCCTGCGAACGCTTGATGGAGCAGTGAAATGGGCCTTTCTGCTCTTACGGCGAGAGGAGGAAACTCTTGGATTGTACTTCATTGTTGCAGAAACGGATTCTCACACACACTTTTTCTCTGTAAATGCGGCTGATGAAGAAGATGAAATTAGGGTTTTTTTGGTTCTTATAGGGAGAAGATTGTGGATAGTGAAACTAGGGTTATGTATTGGGCCTTTGTTTTGATTTACCCATTATTGGACTCGGCCCATTTAAAAAGATTGGGGTTTGAAACTCTGGGAATTTAGTGTGAATTTGAAAGAAGTATCTTGAGTGAAATAATAAAATATAAAAATATGTGAATTATTATTTCACTCGTGATATTTCTTATAAGTTTAAAATAATGTCATGAGGTCTAACCTTTTACGTTTATTAATTTCTGGAGTTCAATAAGTATATAGTAGAAAATTTATTTAAAAATCAAGTCGAAATTCCAATATACGGTGATAGGGTTTCATTTGTAAGGGCATTTTGAGCTACGGTAGAGTTCACTTGTAAAAATTTCGAACTTCGACACAAATATTTTCATGTTTTAGATAAGAATAATTTTGTTCAAAAATTTTTCTGCATTAAAAAAAGGTCTAAATCTTGAATAGTGAGATGGTACTACAATTTGATTAGCTATCCAAAAGTGGCTATTCTTGGGTTTCATTTGTTTATCAATGTTTTAATCCATTGGTTTACTACTTAACAAATAAACAACTTCAATTGGTTTCTAATATTTTTTTTTTATGACAAAGGAAACCCGCAGCCGCTGTGCAATTGGTTTCTAATATTATGGATGTAAGATTTACTCATTCTTTAAAACTTGTGAATAATATAACAGAATAAATAAAATAAAATACTGTAGATAGAATTTGTGGTTGAACACCATATAAAATCTGTCCATTTGAAAAAAAATATATAACAAGATAGTTAAAATCAAGAAACGCAGTATATATATGAACTCTACAAATTTACACCGATCCTCTTCTAAATCAATGGTAATAACTTTAACACATGCTGTGAATGAATACTCAAAAACAACAGAGAAAGGAATATGTTTTACAAAAAAAATCAGAGTTTTAAAACCCCTATTTACATTTTTCACTGTTACCTATAAGGAAGTCTCCATTTTTTATGCCAATATATAGACACTCTAGACCACAAAGGGAGCCCGAAACTGTACTCAGGACGATGATCTAAAGGTCTACCCACTGTCAATGGTAGCCACACATACCTCGAATCCTTCAAGTCAGCCGGATTCCACCTATCTGCCATGAAGATAAAGAGACCAGGTACCCCAGATAAAGGAACCACAAATGTACCCTGAGCAAAGAAAGTAGTTAGTCGAAAAATCTTGTTCCCGCCAATGCATGGGTTTCCAATGGTCTCCCATGGCCCCATAATTGATTCGGATGCATGAACAAGGGCCTCATTTGGAGACCAACTAGTACAGCCAGATGTGATCATGTAATATGTTCCCTGGTGCTTAAATAGAGCAGGTGCTTCCCTGTGTTGTCCGATAAGAATCTTTCTCATGCTCTCTGTCGCATCTATATACTCTTCGTTAAGTGGACCAATATGAAGGTCCTTGTTGTGTTCCGATGAGTAAATCAGATATGCTACACCGTCATCGTCTTTGAACAGTGTCATGTCCCTGCTATCATACCCATGAGGCCGCTTGCTATACAAATAATTGAAGGGGCCAGTGGGCAACTCACTAATGGCAACACCCACAGAAGCTTTGGTGTAGTTGGCATCGTCGATATGCATCCACATCACATATTTACCTGTCTTCTCATTGTGAATTACTTTAGGCCTCTCTAGCACATTCAATTTGTATAAATCATGTGTCTCGTTTTTTTCTTCAGCTGCTAAAACAATGCCTTCATTTTTCCAAGTCCACAAATCTTTAGACGAATAGCAACTGACACCAATGACATCAACCTGCAAGGAAAAAGCATGGAAATGAAAAGCTGAAAACCTTAAAGCACAACTGAATGCCAACCAAGAAAAAATATTTGGCCTTTGTCAAAACAGCTTATAAGAGCACCAATGTTGAGTAATCAATAAGAGATGAGCTGTGAAGGAACTAACGAAATTCCCAGATTCCAACCTGATTTAACAGTATTTGAGGACAATGATATGAAGAATTTGTTTAATGGGCTCTCCGAACATGAGATACATTGTCATCATTTCACCAAAGCACTTAATGCCATATGCAAAACTTTCGTCTACATCAAACAGCAAAATCCAGTCTAATACTCTCTCTGTTCCAAATTTATGCGACACACTTTCCTTTCTAGTCCGTCCCAAAACGAATGTCACCTTTCTATAATTGACAGTAATTTAACTTCAAAATTTTCCTTTTACCTTTAACGAAATGATCTATAGCCACACAAATGGTCAAGGAGTGTTTTAGACGACAAATTTCAAAAGTATCTCTTTCTTGCTTGCACTTTGTGCCAAGTTAAATGGTGCCACATAAATTAGGGACTGAGGAAACAATCAACATTAGCAACATCTAGGTCACTTCAATGTAATGTCACATTTGCCTACAGACTAAATCTCTACAATGTCTGAGATTCCAAGAGTCAACTTCCAGTGCTCATATCCTGCCTTCCAACGATTCCTAACTTACCAACCGGTACAACAAGAAAGACCAACACTTGGATTAGAAAGTAATCTCATTTTAGCATGAAAAATGAGATAATACTTTATACCATTATTAAAAATAACCATGAAAAAAGGAACAGTAGCCAGAAACTAAGCACAAAACTAGTATGCGTTCCTTTCTTCTGACTATAAAGTGCTGTACAGAATGCCTCCCCATGACTATAAACTTCCGTACTGTTTTTTCCTCAATATTGCCACATTATAATTGTAGAAAAGAAGCAATTAGGGGGGAATTTGAGAGAAAATATGCCTCCTACCATAATCAAGTTACAACTCAAGAATTTATTAGATAAATTAATCAATGAGGAAAAGAGGCAATATATTTTATCTTCCAAATCCAAATGTTACATCTCTTAAATTTCAGCAGTTAAACGGGAATGGAACAACATTCAATTTTAAAATTCAGAGATCAAGACAGAAAATAATCTCCATTTCTCTGATGATTTATTAGATCAAGATACTGAAATCATAGACCATGGGATTCTAGACACACACTTCCTACTCATCACTCCATCAGTCATTTTTACCTCGTCTCTTCATGCTTGCACCATCTATCATTCTATCCAATTAGAATACCAAAATCGTAGACCGCGGATCCTAGATGCATCAATGTCTCTTCATACCTTCTCCGTTATCATTCTTTTCTTCCTTTTTTTGAATTATTTTTTCCTTCCTAATTAATTTATTGTCAATTTTTGTGGGGCAAATGGATCTTGTTTTTCACACAGCACTATCATTCTCTATAACAACCCCACATTGAGCATACAAGGCCACATTGGCGCGTCAATTGAACAGCTTTCATGATGTAAGTTCATCACTGATGGAATCAACTAAGCAGTGTTGGGTTAACAATAGAATTGCAGAATTGAGAGGACCAATAGATGATGATTTTATCCACACACAAACGAAAAAGAAACAAAGATAGTATTTGTTGCTGCATAATTGTCCTAATTTCATAAAAGACACAAATGGATGGTTAACTTATAGAATGGAGGAAAGGTAGTCGCAAAGAATCCATATGCATAACCAATGGAATGGAGAAAAGGACCACGAGTGTTTTAGCACAGACAAGGCTTCACAGGTGACTAAGTTCGGTTCTTTACTGTCTAAAGGAGAACACAAGCAAGATGTCACACAGTATTTGTTTTAGAGTGTTCTTGGACGGGCATAAGGTCTCGTTTCATTTTTCCATTTTCAGTATCTTTTATTCAAGTACATTGTATATGACAGACGAGAGGGGAGGAGAATTGCCTAGACTACAAGGTGTAGACAAGACGTTCTAGACAACACAGCGATGGCGTTACATAAAAAAGTTATTAACCTGTAACCCATGCATCAAAGTCCAAAACTTACCCTTGCAGCTCCCTTTTTGTGAGCATGATAAGTGGGGCCATCTTTATACTCTCCATACCAATAATGCATTTTTGTCCTCAAATCGTAAAGAATGCCTCCCCCATGAGCCTGTATCGGGTTTCCCTCTGTATCTAACCATATTCTTCCTGGGTGGTAATAGTAGGTATCATTCCCATTCTCCTTCCTAGAATCCACAGCAGTCCTCTGATCAGGGAAAAACACATTCCTTAGCTGGGAAGACTCGTCGAGGAATTCATCAATGAAGGTGGTTGGCCGTTTAGGCTTCCGTTTGGCAGCACGTGTGGATCGCTTCCTGGGCTGTGGAAGCTGTATATTCTCCTCCTCGACCTTTTCAAGTATGCTAAACTGTGTGCGCTGGTTTGTACTTAAGTGAGTCTCCCCACTTTGCGCGTTTCTTTGATGAGCAAAGGAGAAAAGGTGAAGGAAAAGAAGGCACCCTACAACAAGTGGAAACAATCTGCCCCCTGCATTGCAATGTAAAATGAATGATTCCTTGAATTTGTTCTTGACCCTCATTTTGTATCTTTGCTATCTTGAAAAGCTATGGAAATTCAAGCTAAATTCACAACTACAAGAAGATATATGTGGAGCATAATTGAGACAAGAAGCATATGCTCACGAATGTATGGACACATCTGCATACAAACATATATCTTGTGACTAGTTTATCAATATTTGAAATTGCATAACTTATATGAACAAGAAAGATAACAGGAAAAAAAAATTGTGTGAAGTGATTCGAGAGTCCTAAAGTCTAAGAAGTCATTTGATGAGACATTTATGACACAATGTTCAAGTTTAACCATCCAGCTTTGACCAAAATGGACCCTTTAAATTTAGGAGAATTGGTCTATCCGACACTGAAGCATAAATAGCCTTCCAAGTTTATACATTTCAATCAGCTTTGGTCCAAGCAAACGATAACCAGATGAGAAACATCACCAAAATTAAACCCAAATTCTACGGATTGGACTAAATTCATCTCTCGAACATTACACTTACCAACTTTTCTTTCTTCCTTTTTCATTTCGGTAAACATTACACTAACCAAGAATATCATCTACTCTACAGTAAGCACTTTTGATCAACCTATGTTGCTCGGGTTCTTCAAAAATGTCAACGGACACAAAAATAGTGTATTTTCGGAGGATCCGACCTGGCTGTGGCCACATTTTAGGAGAGTCAAGCAACAAAGGGAATAACTACAACATACCCCGTGTAATCCTACAAGTGGAGTCGGGATAAGGTAGATTGTACACATACCTTATCCCTACCTCTACAAGAGAAGCAATTTTAGCTAGATGCTCAGCATAGGGAATAACTATAACAAACCAATAACAACAACATACCCAATGTAATCACACAAATGAAATCTGGAGAGTATAGATTGTACAAAGACCTTATCCCTACCTCGAAGAGATAAAGAGACCGTTACCAATAGACCCTCAACATAGGGAATAACTATACCAACTATCCTTCATCTGAAAACAAATCTTTCAGAAGAGACCAACCCAAAATCCAAATGGGTCAGCCCAAGATCCGCAATAAACACCATTGGGAAACCAACCTCTAAAAATATGAGCCAAACAAACTCCAACAAAATGAGTAGGGTCTAGCAAATTATTTGGTCTCTCAATAAAAGGGGTGAAGGAAAAATGTAAAATTCTACAAAAAACTCATCAACAACAACAACAACAACAAAAGTTTACCAGAACACAGCCTTGAAGTGGATTGAACAAAATCTCTCGACATATGTTTTGTTCGTGTCAGCCCAAAAAGCAAAGCCAGGCAATAGTTAAACAACTAATCATCAAATTTTCATACAAAATCAGCTACTACAATACAAGTTCTCAAGAACCCGTGTTGGGTATATCATTTCTGTATATGAATTTCAGTAAATCAGCTATAGAAGTTGAAAAGAAACCATTTTTTTCAGAAAAGGGAATAAGATAAAAGGAGATTTGAGTAAAGGTTTGTTGTTGGATCTTGGATTAATAATGATGATGAAGAAGAAACTTCAGACCAAAGTTCCTCTTGTCGGTCCCTTTTCTGCAGTCACAACAAAATTTTCAAAACTTTACGGTCACCGAAAAAAAGTTTCCCAAAATAAACTATGTTTAATGGCTGTGTTCCTAATTACTTATCTATTTTTTCATTTATAGTTGTTTCTAATTACTTGTTCATTTTAACAAAGAAAAGATAATTTTTTTATCTATTATACCTTCAATTAAATGACTAATTACTTTGAAAAATGCAAAACTTCTCATCCACTTCATAATTAATAGGGGTAAAATGATAAACTCACTATGTCATTAATTGATTTCTTAATAGGTGTGTCAATTCAAAAGTGGACAAGTAATTAGGGACAGAGGGAGTACTTTACAATGCATTTTTAAAAATTAATATAAATATTTTACTATAATATTCTTATAGATTGAAATATTTAAAAAATAAATACTAATTAGTATTCCCTCCGTCCAACGATAGTTGACCACTATATTATTTTGGGATGTCCAACAATACTTGTCAATTTTATGAAATTAATGGATAATTTTACACTTAATTTCTAATTTACCCTTAACATTAATTATAGTCATTTCCATGTCACATTTTTCAAAACATTATATGTATTACTCCCTCTGTTCCTATCTCTAGTCACCATTTTAGATTTTACGTGCATTAAGAAATTATATAAGTTTATTATTCTATCCTTATTTAATATTTTTTTTAAGTCAAGTTTTCAATCAATGTATATGAATTAATTCATTTTGATCAATTAATTTGACCAATGAACATGAATTATTTATTTTGTTTTTCTATGTTGGTCAAATGTATATTTTCAAGGCTAATAACTCATAATGGAAAAATAAGAAAAATATTGTAATTTATGCATTGATTTTATGAAAATGACAAGCATTATGGATCAACTATTTATAGTAAGGATGTCATATAAAAAAGAACGGAGGGAGTATATTCAAAGGGTGATATAGTAAAATTACACTTCTATTTATAGTTCCATAAGAAATGTGCAAAGTCAATAGTGAACAATTATTATTGGACAGGGGGAGTATTAAAGACAAAACAGTAAAACGAGATTAGAATTGAGTCCAAATTGAGCTTTTTACTACAACGGCTTGTTCCGTCGCTATTTAAAGAAACTGAATCTCAAGAATTTTTAAAAAACACCACCAATTTAAATTCGGGGTGACACGACGCAAATTTTGAAATTTGAAATTGATTCGGCTGACGTCATCCCGTCATAGAGGAAATACTCAATATGGCGGCCCTGCTGTAGCGATGTATCAGTCGTTCTAGCGGGGTCAACAGGGTAGAAACTTGGTAACACAAATTCTTTTAATTTTCCCTCCGCCTCTTTAGTGGACAGTGGTAAAAGCAAACAAGGGTTACTCCAAAAACCCTCCAAAAGTTGCTTCAGACTTGGGGACAAGGGAGAGCAGTAATTCTAGCGCAAGGAGGGTCAAACCCATTCAGTTTACGTCAGTCAGAATTCAACCCCATGGAACCAGAAGCTTGTGTTCAAAGTTCTTCGGCAGTTATTTGGCGTCCAAGTAGGTTAGGCTTAACTGGATAGTTAAATCTGTCTTTCCCTACATAATACCATGTGAATTGTCGGGAGGTTGCATATATAGGCCTTCAAGTACGGATTTTGGATGATCGAATGTGTGGATCGCGGTTGTTTAGGATGTTGCGGTACTTAATTTGATGATGTGGACCTTACGGATGTTGTTATGTGTTATTCTAAGGGCGGTAACGGGTGGGTTATGGGTTATAAGAGGGAAGAACTGTCCCAAAAGAGCCATCTGAGAGTAGGTGATGGTTATTGTTTTTCAAGTTATGTTAATTATCTCTATAGTGAAACATGTACAATGCATGATGGGAAAACATAAAGGTTGAATGTGAAATGTTGTCAATCTTCTGTAATGAAGATATTTTTGTTTACTTGTACTCCATTGTGATTGTGATTGTGTTTGTGTGATTATTGGTTAGTTTGGGTACCACGATTAGTATAGGATATCTTTTGGTTGACTATGGTACCACACCTAGTACATATTATTGATTGACTCGGGTACCACGCCTAGTACGAGATAACTTTTGGTTCGCTCGGGCACCATGTCTAGTACATATTAACGGTTGACTCAGATACCACATCTAGTACATGATATTATTGGTTGGCATGGGTGAAAACGACATGGATATCATAGATCATATGAAAGCTTTAGATGAGCTTGATGACATCAAATAAAGACATATAATGTGTTGAAGGTCCATCAAAGTGAAGAGAGAGAAGAAAGTGACCATGTGTGCAAATGACCATCTCATAAATTTAAGAATTCACAAAAGAAGGCAACCAAACAAGACCTTTATCTCGTTAAAGGTAAAATTATCTAAGAAGTGTCTATTTTATTTTATTAGTATAAATAGTACTAGTTTTTATCATTTTGGAAGACTAGATTATGAAGATTATGATGAATTGAATATTTGAGAGATTTGAAGCTTGTAGTTTCTAGGTGAAGCCTAGAATTAGTGTAGTTCGTAGTTAGTAATTATAGTTTAGTGATTAGGGTGGATTCCCTATATTGTTTGTGTTAACTTCTTCTAACTTAATCAATTGTCCAATTATCTTCTTTGTGGATTCAATTTGGTTTTCTCATTTTTGTTGAGTTTGGGTTATTGTTATCTTATCAGATTCAATTAAGAGGTGAAACTATAAAGTCATTTTTTTCTCATAAGTTCGATTATATTTCGATAATATCACAAATATTTTCTTATTTCTTTCAATTGCCCATTTAATTCTTATCATTGGGTAACACACCTAGTACATGTTTGACTACTCGATTGTATGTTGGTTTCATGAGTGAATCAGATTTAATTCATTGAAATGTAATTGTTACATGTTGTTCCGTGAATGGACGTAAATTGTGTTTCAATGTTGAGAGGGTTCTTGTGTAGATCAGGAGGGCATATTAAACAATGTAGATAATGTTTGGAGGTCCTTGGTAGTCTGGATTACCTTAAAAGGTGTTAAGAGTTAGGTTTGGGTGAATGTTTATGATTTTGGGTATGTCTCGAGTGGTTGTTAAGTCATGATGTTGACTGGAAGCCTTGCTCATTCACTAGCTTGTGTGGTATTACCAGTCTGAATAGCCTAAGACATATCTGATTACAGGAATAGATCAAGGTAGTTTAGTAAGAGTCTCGCATGTGATTTGATAGATTGGTCAAGGACCAGGGTATTGGCTTGAGATCTTGAGGGAGAGTAATAGTTAGGTTAACAACGTTGTAGTACTGGATAGAAAATCAAGAGTCTTTATATGATAGAGGGGTTAAGTATTGATCGGATGTGAGGGTGAAATGGCTTAGATAATGGAGTTGGCAGTGGGAAAAGGTGAGTGGTTTAAGGTCTATGGGTCATGATTATTAGAATCATAGTAAGATCGTGTGGCTACATATTGGGTTGGGTGATTCTTATATTGTATGTTTTCTTCTGAGTATTTGCATGACATTATGTGATAAATTTGGGTCGACTAATGATACCTATTAGTACGTGTTGTTTGTACTGATATTACTCTTGTTATGCCACTTGGCATAGTTTGGTTGCACGATCAGTGATGTATCTCAGGTGATGACGGAGATAATCCCCTCCAGCTTCTACCTTTCTTTCCTTATGGTGGAAGTCGTGTCTTATCATTTTGAACCTTGTAATCTCTTAAAAGCTCTTGTACCTGTTTAGACTAGTTCCTTGGAGAGGGTTCAATGTATTTTTTGACAAAAGTGTTATATATTTTTTAACTAAGTTGGGTATTTCCTTATTTAAATAAGAGGTTTAGTTTATATTTTTGTTCACTTCCACATTCCATGTTCCAGTTTGGAGGAAAGAGTTCTCCTATCTAGGTGTCAGAGTAGGTGCTCGCACGGTCCGGTAGGTTGGATTATGACATTTACACTACTGAATGAGTCAAAGTTTAAACACAAAATACATATACAAGATATTTACTTGTAAGGAGGAATGAGTAATTTATTCCAATATCAAACATAAAATGATCCAAAAAAATAGATCCAGAGATAAGTTTAAGAGGCAAAATAAGTTATTCCCCCTCTTGAGCATTTTCACAATGGTCTTTCCAAAAAAGAAAAATTCTCCTTATAATTTTTTATAGTTTCTATACCATGATATTTATTATTACTTTTTGTTTCTTTTAAGATTAACATATAAACATATTATTATGAGAAAATTGAGGTGTAAAACATAGGCCTTAGAGTCTGTTTGGATTGATTTATTTAGGTGCTTTTATATTAAAATAATTTTAAAGCAATTTTATAATGTTGGAGTAAAATTAAAAAGTGTTTATAAACACTTATTTTTAAGCTAAAATAACAAAAATTATAAGTCAAAAGTCACAAGTTAAATATCTATCTTATGACTTTTGGCCTATTACTCATAAGTCAAAAGACAATTGACAATTCAAATAGGCTCTTAGTGGACTCCCCCTACAAGCCGACCCTGACCCTAATATAAGGTGTGTTCGATTTGTTAGAAATTATTAGATTATCAGAGCAAAATCAAATCAACAATATATGTATACCTTAAACTGCAGCAGAAGATGGTGAATTTACTATCAACTTGAAATTGTTTCAAATCAGCTTTGTATTTCTAAAAAATGGAGTGTAATGTCACAAACTAAATGTCCTTTCTTTGATTGTTTGATGTCAATTCTGAGAAAGAAAGTTTCTAACTTTTTGTACTTCTGATTTTTATTTTCACACACTTTTTTGCCTGAAGGTGAAGCACTATATAAAAAAATGGATGTTGCGGTTCAACAATTATCATATAATTGTTTCCACCTTTTTTAAAAATTGTGTTTATCTTTTTTTTAGAAACTATATCAGGTCGAATCAGATCAA